CAAATACTACGGCCTTTAGCAGATGTTTTAGCAAATCGTCAACCACGGGACGGGATCGCGGTGGTCAGCCGATTTGCCTACTTGGCAGAGCAGATACCGAGCGTTACGGGGCACGGGTGGCTTATACACAATGAGAATATTTGTAATAATACTGATCAATTAGCTTTATGTTTACAATAGTTCCGGTTTTCGGGGTCGGGCTGACGGGATATAAGAGAGAGTATTAATTGCTCTGTTCGGCCTTTTATATCATCTCGGGTGCGCAATGGCGACATCAGGGAATCAAAACGGCGCAGCTCCCCACTTGTTTGGGTAGGGTGAACGTGAAATCACCACGGCGCATCTCCACTCGTTCGCACAATAATATTAAAACCTATATACAGGGTGTACAAACGGTGGTATTTAAGGAAAATTCTAGTTCGTTACACCATTTAGATTCCAAAGTGTAAACCAGGTCGTTCCATATAGGACATATAGAACCATACAAATCCATATTAGTTTCCTTATCTGGATCAATATGGGTTCTATAGAGCATTTTTAATAAGGGTCTCAGTTAGTAAATTTACCGTACATTTGTGTACGGTATTTAGGTTTGGACCGTATACCGTATTTTCATTTAAATTACAGTACAAATACGGTGATTATTATACGAATGGCAACGCTGACGTATACCCACAATGGATTGTGCGTATACCTATAGCTCAGACATTCGTATTGTATTTTCAAGCGGCACTCGACCGCTCTAATCATTAGAATCAGTAGAATGCTGCAATGTAGCGATAGGTCTGTAGAAAAACAGGTTTTTGAATTTTATTTTGGGCTTAGATATTGTTTATGTTTCATTGGTTTAAAGTAAAGATATGAATCTATGATTGCGATCGATATTTGTGTAACTGATTCATCTAAAATCGAGATACATACACCTTAACCCTTTCAGTATTAGCGGGACATATATTTCCCAACATAGCTTTATAACGTACTAATGGCTCTGCTGCAATTTATTTTAATGCGGTGTGCAGTCTTTGGTTAAGTATCGAAAAATTTCGCGACCGTTCGGCAAGCCTCGAAAGTGCAAATTCATTATTTAGTAGGCCTTCGATCTACTTCGCATGTACTTATTTGGCTTGTTATAACCTGTTTTGATGCAATTCGTGTTACAATTGGTGAAAAGGTAAGTATTACTATTGGTAGAATAGAGTAGTCCGTATATATTTTGGTTTACAGGTTCTGGTTGTAAAAAAATCGCCCTGGGACAAATAAGTCCCAAAAGTCCTCTGTTATGGACAAATTTGTCCCATTGTCCCAATAGTCCTATACAACGTATAAAAAATATTTGTATTTGTCCCAATAGTCTTCTTCAACGTATAAAAAATATTTGTATTTTTTATAAAATGAGTGGCCTAGGCCATGCAAGGAACATGAAGAACTAATTTACCTTAGTGAGGACAATCCTTTCGTTTATAGGGCTGAGGGTCGAGATCAAAATTATAATCCTATATGTCCCAGCATATATGAGTGGTGGGATAATAGTGTCCCAATAATCATAATGACATTTTGACAGATTTATTTTTTTTAGGGGTGATTTATAACGTCATTATTAACAAATATTACAAAAAATATATTAAAATATTTATTGTGCAAAAGTCGTCTTGAAAGGGTTAAGATAGGATGGTGCCCATCTAGGGCGGGGCTTATTTAGCGGGAACGACGTAACTCGTTGATTTATTTTTAAATCGTTAAAGTAGAAGATGTAACTTGCGTTTTACTTATCTAGTGCAAAACTTTTGGTTTTTGCGTTGTTGTTGGTTGTTTACTTGCTGTTTTTTGTTAAACTTGTTGTTTTTGCGTTCGATAAGGTTCGAATTACTTTTCAATGTTAACCCTTGGTTAGGCGAGCCCAATTCGGCTCGGACAATTAGGCGCATGGGGTGATTTTGATCCCATGCTAATTTTTGTATTAATTTATATTTTTTTTATATTTCCTGTGCAGAAATACTTTTTTTTGACCTTTGGGAATATATTGGAAAATATGATGACTTAATATAAACTGCGCACCACTTAATGTGTCGCCTTTTTTTAAAACGACATAACTTTTTTGTTTCTTAAACGATTTTATTTTGGTCTGTGATGTCTGCTAGCATCCTCTGCATCCTCTGGTAATTCATGCTATAGATATGAAGCTCACGGTTCTTCAAGTAAATTTCGTACAGGGTGTTATGAAAAACAGTGAAAAATTTCAATAATTTTAACCAAGCTTCGTTTGAAAAAAGAAATATTTTTTCTTTTTTACTTGGAAATAATGAAGTATTATGTCTTACCTTGAAAAGGTTTTCAAATTTTTCGAATTGGAATCCACAGTTGTTTTAAGAACAAGAAGATAAAATGGTGAAAGATTGTTCCTTAAATAATTCTGAACAAGCGACAAGCAACAAACTTTATGCGAAAACTAAACCTGAACCAATATTTACGTTCGTGACATGTTTTCTTTATAATTTTGACCTCCTGGTTGTGATTCAGTTCTTCAGATAAAACCAAAATCACCAAGAATCAAAATTCGAAAACAATTCCCGGCTGTTAAATGTCTTAATAAAATCCGAACGCTGGCGTGTTTTTTGCATATTTATGATTAAAATGCTATTTGGGGATTAATTTTTTGTGCGAAATTACTGCAATTTATTTGATTGGTTAGGATAATGTTACATAACTTACATTAACACTGCGCACTAGTGATAACTTATCACTGATAAGTACCTACCTAATTGGTAATAAAGTTAAAGAAAAATATTTTTGTTCGTTTTGGAAAATTTGTTACAGGTTCAGAATACAACAAGAAAACAGTTAATATTGGTTTATTTAATTTCGTTTGTCGTTATTTCATAACGTCCTTGGTTTTTATTCGATACAACTAAGTGGAAATACCGTTTTGGTGGCCAAGAAAAGGTTTACAGCTAAACTATAGTTTATAAACAATTAAAATGCGTTTAGACTACTAAATTGATATTTGATAAATATTTAGTGTACGCAATTTACTAAGAACAACACCTGAATGGTTTCGATCTGGTTTTCATATCTTTAATAACAATTGTTGACTAATAAATGCAAGGGTACTTATCTACGCCCTTAAGGTCCGGTTGCAATCGCTCTGTAGGCAGGATACTAGGGTTGGAACCACTCAGACTTATTAAGGCCCCAATGGTAGACAGTGTACGTAGTGACAGTAGCCTGGACAGAGTGCTCGGAAGCAATGATTAATCGAAACTTCAGGGGCCCTATACTCCAACTGTGCGATGTGATGAAATCATGCGAAAGTGGGAGGAGCTACGTGAAATCATGAGAATTTGTATAAAGTCGTATTCCCGAAACAAGGGATCGATCACATGGGACTTTTTCGAGAGGAGTGAACATCGCTTGGTTGCTAGTAAGAGAATCGTATGTCACTTTTGAGGTTACACTTCATGCGAAGTGTAACCTCAAAAGTGACGGTGTGTTTATTAGTGTGTTAAGTGGTACTATTTGTAATAAAAAAAATTGCTAATTTGTAAAATATGAATTTCGATGAATTTTTTAAATGATCTTGACGACGCGGAAGAACAACGAAATGAGCCCGCTAGAGAATTTCTTTTAAGAAAGAATGCGTTCAATTTATAGGATTCAAAATTCATTAAATATTTTCGTTTAAACAAAGACCCTGCCCGTCAAGTAATTGAGTTGGTAACGCCCTTTGTTCAGCAGGGCGCTAGGGCATCTGCTTTAAGTGTAGAAACAAAGGTAAGTTAATGGGGACTTACCATTTTTTTAGCAATGCATCAATTATTGACGAAAATTAACGGAAGCTGTGTATTTATTTTGCAGGTTTTAATAGCGTTAAAATTTTTTGCCAGTGGCAGTTACCAGGAAATAACTGGTACAAATATCTATACCGCAGTCAGCCAAGCAGCGGTTAGTCGAGCTATGCATGAAATTGCCGATGCTTTGGGAAGGCCCGAAATAATGAACAGGTTTGTTCGGTTTCCTCAGAACTTACAAGAGTTAGCTGCCTTAAGGAACAGGTATACCTTTTGCCAGACTGCAACACATAATATTATTAACACCATATTTCTATAATTGTTAGTTTTTTCACGAAATACGCATTTCCTGGCATTGTTGGCATTATTGATTGTACGCATATAGCAATAGTTCGACCTCCTAGAAACGACCCTGAAAATCCGAAACATATTTATGTGAATAGAAAGCAGTACCATTCAATTAATGTTCAGCTGGTAAATAATATATGGTTTAAAGACTCCCTGTTGAAAATAAAATGATTTTGTAGATCTGTGACGAAAATCTTGAATGTAAATGCACGGTATCCAGGCAGTACTCACGACGCTTTTATTTGGTCTAATTCTTTAGTGTCCGAAACACTTCAACAAATCTATCGACAAGACAACGAAAATAATTTTTTTTTATTAGGAGATTCAGGTTGGAACAAAAAAAATCAACTTAAAGAAATTTTAGGTTCGATGTTATTTTTCAGGTTACACGTTAAGACCATGGCTGTTAACTCCAATCGAAAATGCGGGGCCGAATACACCTGAAGAACGTTTTCTGTTCTGTTTAAAGAACAGATTTAGATGTCTTCTCAAAAATCGTGTGCTTCATTATAGACCACTAGTCGCCAGACGAATTATACACGCTTGTATTGTGTTGCACAACTTATGCATCGAACATAATATCCCGGAACCTGAGGAGGACGAAGAAATGCAGAATGCTGATTTCGGAATGTATCACGTTCCACCTTTGGCTGACAACGTTGTACATGGCAGAGTTAACCCCGATTTGACAGCGGGTCGGCACCTACAGAGGCGTATTATTGCAGCACATTTTAATCAATAATGTTAATAACAATAACCGTTTTATTAAATGTTTTGGTACAAAATTGATATATTAATTTGTATTTCTTCTTATGCTAAAGATTATTTACAAGGCAGGTAATGCATGGCGGTAGAAAAAAAAACAGATTAATGTGGAGGACATACATTTGGGAGACGTTGTAAAATTTGTTCCAAGAGAACCCCATTACGTCGGAGCAATTCAAGTTTTTCCGCTTCATAAGCGCCACGTCTTTTGCTATCAGCCTCTAGCAATTCCAGTTTCTTCTTATAATATGCCTCTTTAATCCGAATCTTTTCGCTGCACTTGGCCAACATATTCTCCGATATATTTAGGGTCTTCGACAGTCTCACCGTTTTCGACAATTTTTTTTTTGGTTCCGGACGGGCACAACTTTTTGCATCAGGCATAGTAGTCGTATTTCGGGAAGGAGTACTCTGACCTATATCCGTGTCCAAAACAACATCATCAACCAACATACTATTTGTTAAGTTATCTTCCTCCCCAACACCACCGTCAGTGGGCAACTTGTTTGCTGTGTTGTCAAAACTGAAAAATACAGCCGATTCCAAAATGTTCGGATCGCCAGATATTGTTGCTGTTGGCACGAGAGTCAAAATCGTTTCCTCCACACCATCCAAAGTTGTAGTTGGTGGGCCTCCGCCCCCGGTTCTTGAGCAGTATTTGTTTATTTCGGACTGCTTTTTCTTGACGGTCTTTTTCATATCTTGCCAGCATTTCCGGACTTGCTGCCAATTGTCTTTTTTTCCACCGCCGGGCACACTAATAATTATACTTAAAAGCTCGCACCATAGCAATTTCGCGGACTGATGAGAAAACGTTGCCGAAAATTGACAGCTTACTAATTCACGATGATTGTCCATAAAATCGGATATAAGTTTCTTTTGTACCTTCGTGATTGAAGATGATCTTTCTTTTTTATTTTCTTTTGGATCCGCCATTATGTACCTACTTAATTACCCTACAATAAATATTGCAATTACTTTTTAGACTGAATGAAGTATTTATTTTTGGCTCATGAGTCATGACCTAAAAATTTACTATTACTATAAGCAAATTTTTAATTGAATGGGGAATTGTGGGTGAAATTAATAGATGACGGATAAAGTTCTATACTAAATAAGTACTTGAACTCTGTGTAAAACGTGCACATTTGGCGATATTGATGATAAAAACCGACGTGCCGGTGCAAAGTAACCCCACTTTACGGTATTTACATTTACAAAATACCATAACGTATCAATATAATATATTATATACAAATACAATATTTCGCTACAAAATAAACCGAATATAACAAAAACCATAATGGAAAGACTTACTTACTTACTTTACCCTGACTAAAACTCGCACAATCGCAAATAACCTGCAAACACTGCAACTGTCAAAACGAAAAATAAACAAAGTCACGTGCAGAACCCTATTATACGATTGGTTGGTAGATATGTCAACAGCGCATAGCGTATCGTAGACGAAAGCTCACATCCCACAACTTTGAGAATACACATTTTACGGGTCGTGCGATGCTGGTGTGATGAAATCTATCGCTCGAGAGAAGGGATTTCTCACTTCTCACGATCTCGAGTATAACCACCCAGAGGAGGACCCTAGTAAAGAACCCTGGCGAAGGACCCTGGTGAAGAACCCTACAAGGTTTATGGTAAACTATGCTAAATTTCGCCATAAGAAAACTTACGCTTGGGTTTATGTCTCAGTCAGGCTTATTAGCGAACTTCCTAAGCTTCAATGAAATTTGAAGACAGAAAATGCGGTCTTTGAGTATTAACTATGGTTTCGCGTAAAAATCGAACAAATTTTGGACATTTTTTTGCAAGTGATGTCAGAATTGAATATATTTTTGTTACCTTGTTTGTACATCTAAATAGTACCTTTTTTTCAAAAAAAAATTTCATCCATTGACCGCTGCGGTTTTCAGGCCTTAAGTCACCCTACTGTGTTAAAAATAGATAAATTTCGATATTTTGTAATAACATTTTTATTTAAAAACGTATCGATTTGAAATTAAGATAAAATGTAGACCTTATTAGTGGCAATAAATCCACATATTATTTTTTTTAGATTTTAATATACAGGGGGACGGTGGACAATTTAATTTAAAATTTTACCATTTTTTAAGGGTTAAAAAGTCGAAGAAGCAACGTTGTTTTATAATTTTGAGTATATCACGTTAAAGTACTGATAATTAACTATTTTTTGATATATAAACTTCTAAATGCAAATTATGTTTCTACGAGAGACACCATTTTTAAGTTAAGTCTTCAAAGAGCGTAATACTAACGTGTTTTACAAATTATAAATTCTTTTAACTAGTTTTATAAGATAATGTATTATATATTACATACAATATTTTATATATAACATCCAATTCTTACATATTTATTTAAAAAAATCCCATAGCCCCTGCCATAGATGGAGCTAAAATTAGTTTTATTTATAAATTTTAAATTTTTTTAAGTTTACTAATTTTGATCATAGTAGGCATCACAGACTTTTTTCTATGGTAACCTAGGTTAGCTACCATTGGAAGCATGAAAGATAATTTACCAGTTCAGTTTATAAGTTGCAAATGACTGATTGCGTTTCAATTTATAAGTGTACTATAAACTTAAAATATTAATTTATTAAAATGTGTAAACTAAATAATAATTATAGACAGTGTCAGCAAGTTAGAAATTATAACCTAAGTTAATTTTATTTTTTGCTCTACAACCAAGCTTCAATTTATGTTTTACTCGATAAACAAGCTTCAATTTTAATTCCTAACTGAGGAAAGTAATATTTACCCAATAAATAAATTAGAATAAAGACTTTTTATGTTGCAATCGGCTATTTAGATATACCTATATTTTTATTCATTTGTTTTTCGATTTTTTGTAATTAGTTATTTTGCATTTTTTTTATTTAATATAATGCTATACAGGGTGTTTCTGGAGAAACGCAAACGGTATGGATTTGAAATTTTAATAGCATATACAATTTGATTTAGACTATACATAAAGTCAATAGTTTTCAAGATATTAATTTTTTTCGTTAAAATGCACGTTAATCAAAATAGCCTCTAATTTGTTTGTTATTATGTTTGTTGACATGGGGTTGGAATTTTTGGAATATTAAAACATTGTTTAGTTTTTTAAAGGTTTTTCAACAAATACCTTGAGAAAAACCACTTGAAATTAGGCAAACTTCAAACAATAATAACGTTTTTATTATAAATGTAAAACCCTGTATGTTTTAACATAATCAAATAGAACATTAAAGAATCTTTTGATTGGTTTTATAGTAACTCTTTCCTAAAGTTAAAATTTCAGAGACATTTAACAATTTCTAATATTTTCAATACTATTTTGTATCAACAAACCTCTGAAATTCTACATGTGCTTTAATGTAACAGTATCCATGGTTACCACCAAATCTGTCATTGTTTAAAATTAATTAAAATATTTGATTGAAAAAATAATAACTCAAAAAATATTGACTTTAGGTATAGGATATGGTATAGCCATTTTATATATAAATGAGCTATTCCGGTAAAACAGGAAGTATTATTTTGTTTAAAATAATTTAGGAAAATAGTCTAAAGCGAATACTTTACGCTATTAAAATTTTAAATCGATGTCTTTCGCGATTCCCTAGAAACTTCCAACTGACTAAGTACGTGAAACACCCTGTATATTAAACGTCATTTATGTGTTATGCTTTACTTAATTATTAATAAAAGATACAACAATATTTGTATAAAAATGACAAAATGTACTAAACTAAGCAATTATGAATACTATTACTGCTAATTCAAAACTGATCCTGGCCACAGAAACATCATTTGCATAAAAAAGTTAATATATCAAATAATAGTCAAATATCAATACTTTCACGTGCTATACTCAAATTTATAAAACAAAGTTGCTTCTTCGATTATTTACCCTTTAAAAATTGTTAAATTTTAAACTAAATTATCACCAGCGCCCCCTGTACGTTATAATCTAAACAAAATTTTTTTCATGGATTAATTGTCATTAGTAAGATCTACATTTTGTCCAAATTTCAAATCTATACGTTTTGAAATAAAAAAGTTATTTAAAAAAAATGAAATTTCTTCATTTTTAACACAGCGAAGAAAAAAATAAAAATAAAAACAAAGTTGCCAATGGACGAGATTTTTTTTTTTGAAAAAAGTACTGCATTAAGATGTAGAAATAAGGTAAAAAAGTTTCGATTTCTTGAACCCTTGCAAATCGACCGTTCGATACTTTCGCGAAACCGTAGTTAAGGCTAGAAAGGATTACGATTATACTTGAAAAAAAAACAATGTGACAAGAGGGCTTACCAGAAAGGTTGAAAGTTAATCCGGAATCATCCGCGAATACGAGGTTACCAGTAACAAAATACTACACCCAATCCTTACGTATTCTTATGCTGAATTCGAATTATATCCCAATTAATATCGGAAGGCAAAATACACAGCCTTTTCTGAATTCGATGACAGCCAGCACAACCAACGCGTTGCAACGTTTTCCAACGTTTTTCAAAATCGCCTTACCTCAAAATAAAATTACGAAATCATAGACCTAGATGGCGTTTACCCTATTAGTTGAACTTCCCGTCAACAGATGGCGTTATATTATCCATAAAAATCTATAGGATTATTATTTATATTTAATGAAATCTAAACCAATATATACCAATATTAACCGTTAGAACAAAAATTAAAAAAAAATAAAATAACCCAATATACTCCTAGCATTTTCGGAACGTAACAACTCTCCCTCTTCTTCCAAACAAGTAAATTACTCAGTAATTTACTTGAGAAATATTAATACCAGTAAAAGAAATAAATGTTCGTACGAACTTCAAACTAAATTAAACTTTAATAAAAGTAATATCCAGAATTTGACGGTGGATCACGAAAGTCATTTCAACCGCTGGAAAAGTTGTAGTACCCGCGAGACTATTCAGCCTAACGCAAGACATTCACCCTGGTCGTCAGAGTACTCATCGCTCCGAGATGGAATTCGGCGCGCCGGCGACATACTCTAACTAACCCAAGAAATCCTCAACTAAAACGCGACATGATCCAGGGTAAAAAAAAACCTCGCGCCGAACGAAGCGCTCTCCCAGCATTCACAACTCCGGCAACCGATGAAACCACCCGATGATGTCCATGGATTGGCAGCTACAGGCGATACGGTTTGGCCGGGCATACCGTAGCGACGGTTGCTTGAAAAGCAACGTCGGCCTTATCAAAAAGAACTAAGAAAACGTACCCTTGTCCGTTAAAAAGGCATAAGTCTTTAGATCCTGAACATGCCATACTCCACAAATCTTCCCACTATCCTCCGACAATTCATATGCCCACTGACCTACCTTTGGACTCACTTTAAATGGACTAACAAATTTTGGGGCTACTTTATAATTGAAACTATCCGCTGCGCTAGAGATAGCTTTATTTCGACGCCACACCATTTCGCCTACCGCGTAATGGACAGCTCTACGCCTAAGGTATATAGAACACGTATTCTTACTCCTATCGGATGCAGCCTTAATCTTGACCGCAATGGTATCAAAAAGTTTCTGAAAACCTCGCACCCGGTCAATAACTGAACAACTCTGGTTAGAATCCTTGATGGAAGAATCGAACTCAGAGCCAGAAAGTACGTGTTCTCTACCAAAATTTACGAAAAATGGACTAAATAATAGCTAAACCTATCGAAAGAAGATTATCAGCCCAAGTTTTATGATTACCACGTACATAGGATGCAATCATGGTCTTTACCACTCGATTGACTCTTTTACAAGGATCGGCTCGAGGCCAGTACAGAGGCGTGTAACAAATCTTAGAATGATACTTCTCACACAAATTTCGGAACTCCTTAGACTTCATTTGAACACCATTATCGCAGATGATATATTGAGGTACACCATACGTCAAAAATATACCTTCCTCAATATCCTTAGCCAACAATTTTG